CATTTGAATGAGAGGTATACCGACTGAAGTCTCTGGACGAAGATTACGAAACCGTCTTCCATATCTGCTGCGGACCTCTTAGAACAAAGTTACGGGGCCATTTTAGGGGGAGCATAGTGGCATTCAATACGAATTAGCGGCGTGAGGCTTCACCGCTCGAAGCGGCGTGGCCGAGTGGATACGTTGCAGGTCTCGCGGTCACATTGTCGAGGGTTTGGATCCTTGATGCGTTTTCTGTTTTGCATTTTTTCAACAATGGTCCCTATGCATTAAAAAGCATTTTTGCATAATACTTGTGCTCGAGAATGCCGCCAAAGAATGTTTCTGAACTAATGGAGCCATTGTGAACAGCTGCTCCATGCAGAACATTCTTGGCTGTTGAATTTGTCACAGAATTCCAGCAGGTGCGAAAGCACCACTTTGGGATAGAACATCTTTCAACACTATGGGAGTGATGAATGAAGGTTTCTCCCATTGTGATCTCCGCAGGATTGCAAAGCCCGTCGTAGGAAAGCCTTTCCAATGATACTCATCTTTACGCACAACTTCGTGTGGTTTCGGATCCAGCCATGTCGTTCGGAGAATAAAGCCATTCATCAAGGCAAGCACATTCGTTGGAGTGCATTCCTTTTGTACAAAAATAAGCTCCGTGAAGCAATAACGAAGAAATCAAGAAATCAGAAATCCAAGAATGGGCACTATTTACCCTACTGCCCCAATCATCGGAAATCTGGCCAGTTTTGACCGACTTTTTCCGTGAGCAGAACTGGTCAAACATTCGTACCCTGGGGTAGTTTGAGCTCCTGAATACGAATATCACATTCGCTCGACCCGAAACCTAATGGCGCTCGCGCCACAGGCGCCGGCGCCAAAATACCCCAAATCACCGGCGCCTGTACCGCGGGCGCCGAGAGATTTTCGGCCAAGCGGATGTGTTATTCGTATTCAGGAGGTTAAACTACCCCAGAACACAACATTCGAGCCAAGTCTGTCCACGAAGAAAAAACTCGGTCAAAAACTGGCTCGACTCCGGATGATTGGGGCAGTATAGGACGAATAGTTGCCCAAGGAATGTTCCACAATCGTTTTTGAACGAATGGAGCCATTGTGGACGAATGAAATCGTCCACAATGGCTCCATTCGTTCAGAAACACTCTTTGGCGGCATTCTCGAGCACAAGAGTTATGGAAAAATGCTTTTCAATGCACAGAGACCATTGTAGAAAAAATGCAAAACAGAAAACGCATCAAGGATCCAAACCCTCGACAATGTGACCGCGAGACCTGCAACGTATCCACTCGGCCACGCCGCTTCGAGCGGTGAAGCCTCACGCCGCTAATTCGTATTGAATGCCACTATGCTCCCCCTAAAAAGGCCCCGTAACTTTGTTCTGGGAGGTCCGCAGCAGATATGGAAGACGGTTTCGTAATCCCCGTCCGAAGACCCTTCAGTCGGTATACATCTCATTTCAAATGGCCACTTCGACCTACCATCCTTCCCTTGTTAGCGAGCTTTTCCTTGCTCGAGTCACTAAGGCGTTACAAGGCTTGTGTCGAAGTTTCTCATCAAGTACTTGATCCAGGTTGGCTTCTTTAAGCACGATACTCTTTCCAACGATCCACCCAAGATCTGGTAATGGCCGCGGAAGATCCTTGTAAGATGTCCACTATCAGCGGGGTTTTCCGGGCTTTTGCGACTAGTTTCGCAATTCCTCCATACTGCCCACTTTACCGTAAAGGTAGCGCGTCCATAGCTCTCTGCTATGCTAAGAAATGCTGCAACGATTGCTGAAGCTCGGCTTAGACGATCTAACATTTTCGGTGGTGATTTTAATGAGTGTACCTGACCCTGACTGCCTAGCCCGTAGTTTTTCAATCTTAGAGTTTTTGAGGTCCAACACTTAGCTCGCCGCGCTTCTCCCCCGAAACCTGAACTTCTTCACGATGAAGGATTTGCCAGGACGGTTTCTCACAGAGCTCGTACACGCGAGTTTTCGTCATGTTAAGTTAGGGGCCATTTCCTAGAAAACTCGGCGCCAAGCAAGCAAACCCAACTGACTTTCTTAAGACGAAAGGAACCTCTGCGGGATGACTATTTTGTCTCTGGTTACCATTTGGGCGTTCACGTTCAAAGTTGTGCGAATTTTTTTGAAACGTGCTGTAGCGAAGTATTCCAAGTACGCGCCCCAGGTCACTCGTCTAACAAGCCGACTTTTTTGAAACCCAATATTTTTCCTACCTTCTTGAACTTCTGAACAACATTGCTGGTAGCGAAGCCACTTCCACGAATCAACAAAGCTCCTGCTTCATTTGTCCATGTAATCACTGGAAACCGACCATGTTTAAAGCCCTTTGCGATTTTGAGGAATGAATCATCGCCAACTGATGATGGTACAACGAAGGCCGACGGATACCTAGGACAGCTTATTAACGATAAGGAAACGTGAAAGAACTAATCTGATATAGATTTGCGCACTTCACAGAGAACAACCCACGTCTTCACCACATCGTAATGAGCATTGGCGTGCGAAATTCTGACTATGGAATCAACTCCACGTAGACGTAATCGTTCATAATCAATAAGGTGATGACGATACACATCTCTTGCATACAAAGGATTGATTATGTCAGGGACATCTTAAAGAAAACAAGTTCCGAATCATATAAGTAAACTTCGGCCGCGTTCTCCATTAACCTGAAAGATCAAGGTAGTCACAGTGATTCGTGAAAGTATCATTTTTTGCAGGCTGGGTTGACATTTTCAGCGACGGATTAAGCATCGATGATGTTGGCCATTTGCCAACTGGATCCAACCGCCGGCGAGCTGTGGAGTCTATAAAATGTTTTCTCAAATGGGTCATCGAAATCAATGAAAATCTCTTTCACAAAAAGCTACTAAAAACAGGGCTCACTTCTGCCAGGAAACCTCGCAATGGTCTTTTTGAGCTCACGTATAGTACTATACTTGTTCTTTGAACCAGTTGGTAATGTTGATGTGAGGAGATGGCTAACTGTATTGTATGCGAACAAAGAATGAGGCAACACTGTTGGCCAGCGAAGGCTTGATAAAGCCTTCATGAAAGTTTCGACCTCATCGCCGCGAACCTGCAAGTTAACGAAGAAGTTCTGCCACCTTTTGTTCAACTCAACAGAAAATTACCTCTTCATCGAATGCAACTTTTAGAAGTTCGAAACATGAAGAACGCATTTGAAGGCCGTCATGAAGGCCGCTCGCCAACTAGAAGCACCATACAATTTTCTACACTTTTAAATCAAGGATCTCTGCCTGCCATAACACAACCGTTCCTCTCGCGAAGAATAGTAGCTCAAGGTTAGAAGTGGAAATATAGGAGTGTCACAAAAACCGAGAGGCCAAACAGCAGCTAGACTTAAAGGCAGTTGGTACGATGGCTTCCTACTTACAAGGGAACCCCAACAGGTCGATCCGGCCATTTGCAAGTGAGATGTATAAATATGGACGTGTCTTGAGCCGCTGAATCCAAATCTGCCCTCCGATTTTGCGGAACGATTCTCCAAAGGGAGTTACGGACCATTTAATCTTAGCTCCGTTTGCTCAAGTTGAGAAGGATAACTGCATGCGGCAAGCCGCCGATGGCCTAGTGGATAAGTGCATTGCTTCAGAGACACGAGGTCGAATGTTGGAATCCTTGGCTATCGAAATCTTTTGCTTTCATTCATAACACAACCGTTCCTCTCGCGAAGAATAGTAGCTCAAGGTTAGAAGTGGAAATATAGGAGTGTCACAAAAACCGAGAGGCCAACAGCAGCTAGACTTAAAGGCAGTTGGTACGATGGCTTCCTACTTAGCTAAAATGCTAGTAGGGCGCTGTATAGTGGGGAAATGGCGAAAGAACGGAGTGAAACGGTCAAAATCCTGCGAAGAAAAAGCCTCCGTTCTCAGTGACAATCGATTTCGGACGAGTTTCCCGTAGGCATCTTACCAATCACCGCTACCGAAGATACGGCTGCATATGTGTACTCATATATGCATGCAGCATCACGCCGCTTCATACCAATCCCTTCGCTTATAATCTCTTGACAAATGAATGAATACGAGCGTCAGGAACGGTCCATTTGTGGGCGGGCGGGCGTGGCGGGCGTTTGGGACGTAAAGTTGTGGCTTGATAGGGCCCGTATAGCGGCGCGTTCCTCGGGGAAGCCGCTATGCAGCGCCTGCCCAGGGTCGCGGAATTCTATCCTGCCAGGAGTATTGATCCTAGTCGTTTTGGGGATTCATCGTGCCAACTGCCTTTGAAGTCATAT